GTGAAACTTCCAGCAGGAATCACTTATCAGAATTCAGCAGCACCGAGGCCACAAACAAAACCAGTTCCAATGCCTGCTTTACAACAAGCAAGAGATGAAAGGGACTTTAACTACACAAAATCGCCCCCTATGACAGGAGGATCCTTGCAACCTTTGAATAAAATGGTTCAGCCTTTGAAGATACTCGATCCAAAGTTAGAGTGGGCAAAACCTCAACAATCTGCTGCTTTGGTTGATAAAAGGTGGACAAACACAGGACAAATCCCATCTGCCTCTTACCCTTTGGCGTCACCATCTCAAACGTCACCTCATACAATGAAGGTCGAAGCCCGGTATGTACCCAAATCCAAGAATCTTCAGCAGCCATCGAATAGGGATCCAGTCACAATGATGCAGCGGACACAAGTTGTAAGCGCAAAGCAGATTCCAGCTTCAAGTATTAGCACATCTCCTCCTGGAACTTCGACCAGTCGGCACCCTGCTACTGGCATTGAGATCATGAAGTCCAATGGTTTCATGCCACCGCATATCCCGAGCACTCGAAGCCCAAGTCCAAACAATCTGAACCCAAATCAAATCTACCAGCAATTTCAGTATCAACACCAGCAGCGGTTCAACAACATGATGGATCCAAATTCAACTGGGATGGCCCGTGGTGGCAATGGCTTGTGGACCAGAAACATTGCATCTCCTCCAATAGTAGCCGCTGCATCTTCCTTAGGACTATTCTCTGGGGTAGGTTCAACAGGTACGTCGGGTGCTTCTTCGCCTGTGGATTGGAGCTCTGGAAACTCGGTGGCACACCTGGACTACACGAGCATAGACTGGAGTCTCGATCGAGGCTTATCCCTGAGTCCTAAATTCAACGGGTTATGGCCTGGATCAACCTCACCGCTGAAGAACAACAACCGCCTTATGTATGATGCGGACATCAATGGTTACGGTCTGAAAAACTCGATGGGAGTCAGGGGGAATGGCAGTGGTGTACCTATGGGGGGACTGGAGAATGGTAATGTTGCCATGCCTGCAGAAACATCAGCAACTAATTCTCGGGAATGGACATCACCCTTTGAAGGGAAAGACATATTTAGCTTGTCTAGACAGTATGTTTCTCCTCCTCTGTAAAAGAGTTGGAGAATGACATGAAGCAATAAAAGAAGGAAAAAAAAAAGACTGAGAAAGGAAAAAAAAAAGGAATGTTTCCCTGACTATGTGTGCTTTTGTTTCTCACCTGCTCTGGTTTAATTTACAGTGAATATCTTTTCTTTATAACTTATGAGATGTTCTGTCTCATTTACATGCCTCAAGTCTTTTGAGTGTTTCAAATCTGTAGAGGCATGGCCAAAGCCTAATACTTTTTTATCCTTGTCCTGAAACAGAATTACTCAAATCCAGTAGCTGTAACCCTAATACCACACAATCCGAAATTGAATTGAAACCCAAGATATCCCACCTTTAGAGAAGCCACTAGAAGAATTCAAAACACCTTCAACGCTTACAAGGTGCATTATTTGTTTTATAGAATGTAATGTTTCCTTTTGTTCTTTTTTTTAATCACTGGTAACTCTGCTCAGATTCTGAGGATTGGGTGGTAGCAGTTGCAGAAGGGGGTTCTTTGTACCATTCATTTGCTTCCCGAGTCATGAAGTTCGCTTCTGCAACAAGTTAGGGTTAGGACTCCAAAAGTTAGCTCTTAACATGCTACATCTAAAACGAATAACAATGGATTTTCCAACTTTGGAATATAAGGATGAAATCAATCCTCTCTTCACTAAACCAAACTGAGATCGACAACTTCCAAGTCAGTATGATCATCAGTAGCCAAATTTGATCAATCACACGGCAGTAGCTCGTACAGACGACGCTACTGAAGGAAGGCTTCATGCGTTTCCCCTTTTGTCTCAGTTCCAGGTAAATGGCTCATTAGTTATAGAAAACCTATCAAATTATGTGCTAACATCCACCAGAAGTGAGTTTGCTCGGTATACTATTGACTTTTTAACAATTTGGGTCTAATCAACATGTACAGGGCGGGGTAAAAAATTTGGCGTGTTTGAGGATAGCATCTAATAGGATTCTGGAAATGTGATGCCAGTTTTCAGGACGGTGATAACAAATTTAGAACAGAGAGCTTACCGGATAAGAAGACGTTCTTGTAGTCATCGTCATCATAAATAAACTGCGGAGGATCTGGAGAACCGATACCGACAATAGTGCTTCCACTGCTCGACATTTATTCATCACATAAAGAGGACAAATTTGAAAGTTTTAGCAAAAAGAGAGAAACAAAAGCACATATAGATTAGAAACATTACTAGACTCTTTACTGTTCAAATGCAACATTAAAGAATTTGTGGAAAAAAGATACAAATTAATTTACTCCTGGTTCAAGATGAGGTGATAAACAGAAGAGAGGATTTCTGTTAGGACATACCTCCCAGACATAAAGACGGCATCATAGTCCCCACGTCCAGCTGCAATTACACGTTGCTTCAAGCGCTTAAGAGATGGGAGAACTTCAAATGCTGGTGGTTCTGCATATATCAAAGAGTCCAAAGCATAATTGTGGTTTGTGTACCATACTGATTCCAAAACTAAACAAGCTTGCAATTTTTTTTCTACCACTGGAAGGGAAGAGTGTATACTGCTGAGTAGGAAGGAGAAGACAACAGATACACTTCTAGATTCATACCCAAATCATTAACGCAGACGTCTTGAGATATTCCATTGCTTGTGATATTTTCCAGTAACAATAGTGGGTCAATCTTGCTGGTCTGATCCAGACGGAAGCGCTGAATATATATATAAAAAAATATTAGCCACGAAATTCTGATAGCCTCGAAAAGCAGAATATTAGGCATTGATTTCGGGTTGAATTACTCTGTAGACATCAGCTGTGGAACATGCTTCAGGGGGTTTTATGAGAACCATTGGAAGGTCCAAGGGTAACGGTGGAGGAAGGTCTTGAACAACCTGCATTCAATTCCACTGGCCTTCAGATGAGAATTCATCAAACAAAGATGCATCATGATCATGTGATTACCCCTCTGAAAGACCCTAACTAATGGCAGTAAACTGAAAATCTGTAAGAGTGAGGTTGAAATTGAACAAGGCCTTTTGAAGAGTAGTTATATGCCAAAAGGAAACATTTGTCCAATAGACAAATTCCTGTAATATGCTAGTTCGTCACAAATTGATACTTCTAAGAAGGAGAATAAATTGAAGGTCAAGAGACTAAGCATGCCGGATACAAACAAGAACTTGTTAACACAATATTATTTAAGGAGGGTCATAGGTATGACATCTAAAGCAACATTTTCGACAGCCTTCTTCAGCAGTTCAAGTTAGAGAGAAAGTGGAGAAAAATCAATCATCACGAGAAATAAAATGCAGAGTGCTGATGCGGAAATTAAAAAATTTGAACCCTAGCATACCTCACCTCGCCCAGTACAATAGGCAGCTCCATGGGAAAAAAAGAAAGAAATATCTGACCCAATTTCACTTGACCATTCCTGAAGTTCCTTCTCAGAGGCAACACCTCCATTGAACTGATTTGCAGCCCAGAGTGCAGTTGCAGCATTACTGCTTCCACCACCGAGTCCAGCTCCTGTAGGCACCTTCTTATCTAAATGAACCTGTCCCCATTGACAAACACTGAAGCTATCATTTATGTTTGTTATAGGTACATCTACATGAAATGTGAAACAAAACCCATCCTTGGGAATTCTTACCCAGAAGAATTTTGTACTGCCAGTTTTCTTCCTGTAAAGGTTAAGAGCTTTAATAATCTGCAAAAGAATAAATTGAGAAGCCGCTTCAACCGAATTACATCGTATTGATGATGATTCAGAAAATGTATGTATCAGATATTATAAAAAAAACGCTTATCTCACCAGATTTCTCTCATCAAGAGGAACTCCAGAGACATTTGTCGATAGCCGGTCTTTGGTTTTTGACGGTGATAATGAAAACTTAATTGTGTCTCCTAAGCTTATTACCTAACGGAATGCAAAAGGAGAAAACAAAAGCCATCACATGAAGTCTTCTTAAAGCTCAACATAACTATTTCTGATAACTTCAAAAGCGGCCACAAGAGGAAACAGCAGATAGAAACAAACAAGCAACTTTGCTTCTGAGGGCGAGCTTACGTGAAATAGAGATGCCAAATCATGATACCCATCTTCCCTCTTTCCAGTTATCCTCAAGAATACATTGATCTGAACAAAACAGGACAACCATCAATGATCGAATTCCAAACCAAAAGAACTCAAACTGCAGAGCAAAATGGAGAGGAAATGTCTTAACCTTGCAGGGCGAGAACAGAGAGAGCCGTGACATGGGAGCTTCTTTGTCCACATCATCTCCTAGCTTATTCAGCCTCTCCTCAGGATCATACACTATCTAACATTAGCACCATCATGAAACACCAGCTCAACAGTTATAACTCGGCCAAAAACCTGAACTAAACAGGTGTTGAAACCATGAAAACGACAGGAAATACAACGAGATGTGCCCACAAAACGAAGAGAAAGCTACAAGCTTGAATGAAGGGCTTGAATTTCTCTTGAACATTTATCTGAAATTTTGATAATTCTGGGAGCAGAAAGAAACAAATCAAATATGCATACAAGTACAGGGCAGATTAATGAGTAAAAAAACCAAGAATCAATGAATTGAGAAATCGTTAACGACCTTGATATTTGACTCAGAAGGAGAATCAAACACTCATTTCAATCCAAAGTAACACGGATATAATCAAAACCCCAATAATAAAATCTAAAATTTCGATGGGAAGATTAATTGGCCAAAACTGCTCGCGAGTTTTCAATTTCAGTAAAAATCAGATGAAACGAACGAAACTCATCAGAATTTGACGAGCAAAACAAGAGGAACAATCAGGTGATTTTTCAAACTCCAACCTGGAGTACACTCGATTGATAGCCAAAATCGAAGAAAATAATGCAAACCCATCAATAGTTTGACACAGAATCAGAGGAAAATTCCAACGAGCAACAGAAGTTACATCAGTACCTCTACTCGGTTTCTAGAAGCTTTGACGGCAGAGTTCTTCAGTGATCGAAGAAGCCTCGGAGAGGGAGAAGCGGAAGAAGAGGTGGAAGAAAGAGTAAACGGACGAGAAGACGCAAAGCTGGATCTGAATGAAGCGCAATTGAAATTGGGAGAGGAGAAAATCTGCGGAGAAGCCATTGACATTGTTCCCTGAGTTTGAATTTGTTGGAGAGTCCGCTGGGAAGCAGTAGAGAAACAGAAGCCGGAATTTCCGGTCTATTTGGATATATACGTATAACAACATCTCAAGTCACACTCATTTATTTATTTAATAAAAAAATAGGTTTAAAAATAGAAAAAAGTTATGTAATGTATATAAATTCTTTATGTTATACAAAAATACAACATTACAAACTCGTGTATTTTAAATTTTGGGCTGTCCTTTGAATGGTGGAAAAAATGTGGATCGTTAAATAATTAATAAATATGCCAACTACCAAGTCATAATTTGTGTACTATTGATCGATAATTTGAAAGAAAAATTACAATTTCTATACCGCGCAGGATTATGTATGTGTGCGTTTATGCTCGAAGACCTTAGTAATAATAATAATATAATTTATATACATATTTGTTTATCCATATATAAATTATCTTTAACGGAATATAATTACATCTGTTATAGGAAAACCCAGTCTAAATATATTACTCTTTTTCACTTTAATCGCATATTATTATTATTATTACTGTAATATAATGCATGTTATTTTCTTCGTAATCCTAATTTTGATTACTTTATAGTTTGTTGCAATTTTTTGTTTTAAATTTGATTCGTATCTATCAGTTTTAATTTTTTATATTAAAATCTAAATATTTAAAATTTTAAAATAGAACATGGATTTTAATAGAAAAAACATTTTATATCTGAAATTAAAGCTACAGGATTATTTATTATTTATTATATCGACTATGAAAGAATATTTTTTTAATCCAAAAAACCAGAAAGCGTTAAATCACTATCATGTAAATCGTTTGTTGTTTATCCGTACATTTTACTTCACCAATTATCTAAACTAAGCAAGAAAACGAAATGGCTTTGAATGAAGATGGCTTTTATTTTGGGTTTTTGGTTTTAGTTTTTGGATTTTGGTTTTTAGTTTTTGGTTTTTGGCTTTTGGATTTTATAATATTTGAAAACTCAAAAAAAGTAGTTTTTGGTTTTTCATTGATTTTTTCACTAAAATGGCTTTCCAAGTTTTTAGGAAAAGTAATTTTGTAAAAACTTGAATGTTGTTTTTTTTGTTTTTGGATTCTAAAAACTCCAAAAACTCCTACCATTCAAGGTTAAATGAGACAAGAGAAACCAAAACCCTAGAAACTGGTCTATAGTCTATATGTTCATCTTCAATCACAATATGTCTATTATTGTCAAATAAAAAGGGAAAAAAATATAAGGAAATTATTATTTATAATTTGATCAAATGTCCATAAAATTTAAAATATAAATATAGAAAAATCTCAAAAAGATCTCCACTCTTTTTAAATAAAATCTATCTGAAAATCTCAATTATCCATTCATATACATATTTAAAAAACATCTTTAAAAAATCCTTTTTTAAATCCAATACGTGTAAATCTAAATAAAATATTAAAAGTCTAGTAAAAACTTTTAAAATCTTTAATTTTTATCAAGTTTTATTATATTAATAAAAACATTGATAAGATTTAAAGTATTTTAGTTTTTTACATTTCAACTCTAATTTAAAAAGACATACTTTTACTAATAACTTATTATGAACTTCGTTTTAAATCCTGATTTCAAATTCTCAATTGTAAACTTTAAACCGTAGATTTTTTTCCGGTTCTAAAATTTAGAGTTCATACTTTATAATTTAAATTATAGTTTAAAATTTAAGATTTATCTTTCGTTTAGAATTTAAAATTTAGATTAAAAATGGATAATTAGAAGAGAAAAAAACAGTCCGCTTGTTAGGCTGACTGAAGAAACATGAGCTCGAAAAAAATCCATACTTTCTCAACTCTAGAAGGTAAGAGTAGGCGACAGAAATATAACTAACGTTTTTTTCTTCTTTTTCACAAGGTTCAATAACGAAGGGGCGAACATAAGGAACACATAAATGAAAGACAAAACCAAAACTTGACAGAAGCTTTAGATCATGTAGTAGTAGCTTTGACTTGTTGGGCTTAGATCTTGTTGAACGCGACAATGTCCACACTCTGGACGTGCTCGTTGCAGGGCTCAGCGGTAAGATAGTCCTCTATGAGTTCGTCCACCGATACCAAGTCGTCCACGATCGTGATCATGATCTGCAACTTCTTAATCCCGTAGCCTACCGGAACTAATTTGGCTGCCACACAAAGGATTTCTCGTCAGTCTGGAGCTGGAAAATGAAGAATTACGGACAAAAAGTGCCAAACTTTTGCAAGAATTCAAGACAAGACTACTGTCTTTTACTGTTTAAAGTTTAAGTATGGATACCCATGTTAAAAGTTCATCTCTTTTCTTAAATTTTAACCAAGAGGGAAGATGGGTTTGCCTACTTCAATGTTTTCAAAACGATTTGGAAATTAGGTGGGGGGTGAAGGGGGGAAAAGAATATAAGAACTTACAGGCTCCCCACAAGAGACCCGGCATCTCCACACTACGAACAGCCTCTTCGAGCTTCTTCATATCGGTTTCATCATCCCATGGCTTCACATCCATGAGCACAGAGGATTTTCCACCTGAAAAAAATTGGGGGGCAATTTTAAACAATAAAACAATCATTCAAGTATATCTACCTCACAACATTGCCGAATTGCAAGGGTGCTATCTTATGTTTGGGGTTTGAATTCAGTATACATATCCACTGAAAAATACTTACTCTCCTTGCTCTTCTTCGTATCCTTCTTGGCTGTCTCCCTTTCTTCAGCTGCCTTCTTCTCCTCCTCTGTCTCATCACCAAAAAGATCCAAGTCATCATCGTCATCCCCAACTGGGGCCTGTAGAAAGCGTCAATACCAAAGCAAACACAACTTTAGATTTACACGGTTCAGAAACTGATGTATACATTACCAATGGACGAGAATTATCTAAAAACAAAAAGTGTTATTATCTCGAGCAGATTTTAAGCTCAAACTCAGGGTTCCATAGAAAAAAGACGTCACTTTATCCTAAAATTGAATAATTCTAAACACAACAAAGACCCTGCTCAGCTAGAGTCATCTACGGAAAGATGGAGAAGATAATCTGGCTGCCAAATAAAGTAGATAGGGTAGTGGTCTTCAAATCAAAATTGATAGATTATCACACTTGTTATTTCAGAAGGATTATTTGTTATGGTACAGGAAAAAACTTGAAATCTCAGTCTGGTTTCCAATAAATTTCAAAGAATATACTGAACTTCTCGAATCAAATTCGTAAAAAAAAACTGGAGCAGATAAATTGGTTCACCAAAGAAAATCTACGGTTTGGATCAGAGCAAGGAACGGAAAACATCAAAGTTTATTACTTTCTAGGCGCCGTTCACAATCTGATTCCACTGGGTACACATCTCTATTCTAATCTCTAATCAAGTCTAATTCACATGCAAAGAAGACAAAGACAACCCACGCCATAACAAATTACTTAGATCTCTTTGTCTTAGAAAACATCAACTATTTTGTCTCGAAAGAACCTAATTCCTAAGCTAAGCGAATCATTCCCACAAACATCTGAAAACAAAATAATTGGCAGAATCATTCAAAGTCGTACAAACCTTAGCCTCAGCAGCGGGAGCAGCTTCAGCAGGGGCAGCCTCACCGCCGAATCTCACACCGACCGCTTTCCCCGGAAAGCTACGGAAATCGAAAAAACGAAAGGAGTTCTAGTACATCAGAACACCACACAGCAAATTTTGATCTAACATCCTAATATCCAGGTGATCAGATTTGGAATTAACAACCCGAATCAAAGAAGGAAACGATTCAGCACGAAATCCGAACCTTTTAGCGAGTTTCGATTCGACAGCCTCGTACCACTTGCCCGCATTGGGGAAAGCATCGCCGGGTTTCCCCAAAACAGCGGCGAAAACCTTCACGTCATCTTTCGTGATCTCATCACTACACAAAAACCAAGAAAATACCTCCACGTTCTCAGAGATAAATTATTCAAAAAGATGGAAAAATTTCCCAGATTTCAGAATCACGAGCCGAAATGGAACATCCGAAATTTTCTTACCCGGAAATGAAAGTCTTTCCAGAGAGGAACTCGTCAAGGGACTTAAGCCCACCTTCAGTGTGAAGATCGGAGAAAGTGACGGCCATTATTGAACGAGACGACGGAGAAGAAACTTAGGTCGGCGACGAGAGAGGCAAGGAAAAGAGAGAATCTAAACGCGAAAGAAGAAGAAAATATATAGCGACGAAAAACAAAACCCTAGAAAATTGAGGTGGGATATTCTCTGGTCGGTATACGGATATTTAAAATCGGTCCGGTTCGACCGGTATCAATTGGACTTTTTTCTTTTTTGGTTTTTTTTTGCATGGAGGGAAATCGTATAATTATGCATGGGGTGACCATTTCGGTTATTAACCAAATAATCGAGTCGAACTGAACCGAATAAAATATAACTGTACTCGAACCGAATCCGACATCAAAACCGAATGGTTATAATTTTCTTAAGCCCAAAAAAATCGAAATCAAACTGAACCGAATCGAATAAAAAAGTAACCGAAAAACCGACAATTTTTTCGAAAAAATAAACTTTTTACCGAAACCGAACTGAAAAATAACCGAACCGAACCGAATCGAAGTTTATATAAAAACCGGATGGTTATAGTTTTTCTATAACCGAATTAACCGAATCCGAATATAACGGGACTAGTTATGCGTATATGATATGTTTTCTACGTATAATAAGAACACTAGTAATATATATATGTGCAAGAGTGTTTTTACATGTAAATTAGTAAATAATAGGGACACAAAATATACCCAATTCTAAAATCATAATCATATTGGAATCACATTTCTACAACCCAAATGTTTCTTCACGGAATTGGTAACTCACGCTCAAGAGCATAAATCATTTTTGTGTAAATATATCTAGTGAACCCATCCATCTATAAGGAGATATAAGATTTAGTACAACGCTATCGAGATGAGAAAAATATCGTGTGTATATCTTTGACTGTTTGAATATTAATGTTCATCAATTTTTATATGTATTTCACTGATATTTTTCTACGTTTTAGAATCCACTACAAAACCATCTATTGGAGCTTGATCACAAACATTTTCAAAGCCGATAAAAATACTATGCGCATTTTTTTTTTATATTTCGAAACTTTTCTATCAAACTCTGAATAATAAAGATTACTTTTACAATAGACTTTTCGAGTATAAAATCAAATTGGTTGACGAAAATAGATGTGTTACAACATAAATGTTTTTCCGCACTTTGTTCCCCCAATTTCATGACATGACTCATAATATCCACACGTAATCACATGTCTGACGAAAACTAAAAATTACCAAAATAACCCCATCAATTTCTTAGAAAGTTTTCTTAGGTTAGGATTTTAGGAGTACACAACGTTAATCTTTCATGATCGAATATGCTATGGATGCGGGAGGAAGGATCATACTTTGGTTAGGATTTGATCAAACAAACGGAAAAAACAAAAATTCAAACAGTACATAACTTGATATGAATTCAATTACGTTATTTAATTGTAGATTAACTTGTACATTCAATTATGATATGTGTTTAATGTGTGTGTGTGTGTGTGTATGTATAAAAGCTTGTGAAACCTACTTCAGATGACGCACAAAAGAATTGCTGAATTTTTGTTTTTATTTTTTATTTTTGTAGCGTTTATTTTACCTATATGTATACGGTTCACATACTCTACTCAAAACTCACGTACCCAGAAACCGCAAAGATTCTGAAAAAGAGAACGTCTCCACGAAAGAAAGAAGGTGACTGAAACAAAAAATGGGGACGAGTCTCTGTCTTCTGTTCAGCAGCCGTACTTGTCCTCGCCCAGAAGTTTACCTATCATGTCTCCATGAAAGGATTTGTGCCTCTTGTTTGATTCTTGCTGAGGCTTAGTCCCCCCGCTCCGCTCGAGCCATGAGTTGCATCCTGCGGATAGAGAAAGAGCGGATATTGGCCTGTATTTACAATGTTTTGAACGTTTCAGAGCTCATAGAATTCGAGATGAACATGGAAAAGAAGTTGGGTTTCGTCATTTCGACAGAAGTAGCGGAAAGTTTTTACTGGACGGTAATCATAGTAAACTAGATAGAGTGTGAGAGTTTTACCTGATGAGCTTGCACTGATGGGAGTAAACTGACTGATGATTGACGAAGAAGACTGAAGAAAGGGGGAGACCGAGACTGAGTCGGTATCTTTCACCTCTCTCATCCCCGATGAATCCACGGCTTTCATGGAGCCACTCAACATCTGAGATTGATAGAGAACTGACTCTAACAGGCCGTTGTTCTGCGAAGGCGGGCAATCCGACAGAGTGTGATGATCCGTAAGAGGGGATTGGATCAAAGTGTCGACTGACTCAAGAGGTGGCATCAGGTCAGAAGTGTTGTCTTCCCAGATGCAAGCGTTTTGAGTGTTGTCAACATATTGGATGGAAGGGAGCTCCAACTCCTTGCCCCCGTCTGCGAAGGGAGCGGAAGAAGAAGAAGAACAGCCAGGCAGATGGCTATCGGGTAGAACGTTAAACTGGGACGACTGTTCCAGGGTGCTCTGAAAATACGGGTAGGAGGAGAGGTTCATCCTGAAGGGATCATCCCCTCCCATCCTATCGTAAGGACAGTTATAGAAATTGAACTCGGGTTCATTGGTGACATAACCATCCATTCCAGTAAAGAGAGTTTCTGGTTCCCAGTGGCATGTCGGCATGGATGTCGGCATGGATGTGGGTGGTATCAAGCCGAATGAATCAACAATGTTACCTTCTATCATTCTGGTGCTAGGAGGCACTGACGGGTATGATACTAAATTTGAATTGAGCCCTAATTTGTTGAATGTTATTTCCGGGATATCCATGCTACCGTCTGACCTCACCAGATCTTGGCCTTGAGCATCGTCACTAGCCAATGCATCAACGTTTTGACCATTTTGAGCTGCAGTCAACACTTGTTGGCGAACTTCGTCGGGGTAAATCGGTAAGCCAGCTCGCTGCAGTCTTTTGAGTCTTGTGTTCCAGAAATTTTTTATTTCATTGTCCGTTCGCCCAGGCAACTGAAAGATACCAACAGAAAGGAGGAACACGCCCTAATCATATGCTGTATTGACTTACACTATCTAACCAAAACACGAAACATATGAGCAGAACATGAATAATATCATGATGCTCAAATAAATTCTCAGGAAAAATGTACAGAAGAAAATAGCTCTTTACATACCTCTGCTGCCATGCGAGCCCACTTATTACCCATAAGAGCATGGAGTTCAATGACTCGCCGCTCTTCTTCATGGGTAAAAGCGCCCTTCCTCAAATCTGGCCTCAGATGATTTACCCAACGGAGGCGGCAGCTTTTCCCGCACCGAGAAAGTCCAGAGTGCTTTTGAACAGCATTCCAGTTTCCTTCACCGTGTTCTTGTACATATTCTAACAGAATCGCGTCTTCATCCGTTGTCCAAGGTCCTTTCTTCAAGTAATTTCCTTGTCCCCTGCTACTACTACCGCCGCTGTCTTCGCCTGATCCAGAATCACGGCGACCTTTAGGCATCCTGTGTGAATGTTAGTTATCATTCTAGCAGCCCCCTGACGGTTTTTTTAAATATGGTAGGAAATCAAATTTTCTGGGAAAAGTCCTCTTTGTGGTACCAATATTAAGAGGGTAACGCCAAGATTCAATTATCTAAATTCCACGATGAAGAGGAAGAGCATCCACGGAGCGACTTACCAAGCCTAATACAAAAAAAAAAAAAATGGACTCATGCTGTCGATCTGATTCACTCTTGAAGAAAACAGAAGATGAAGGAGAGCTATGCAACAGCCAAGTAAAAAAAAATCATACTTTAACAACAAAATCGAAATAGCCTTTGCTTAAAAATCCCGCTATTGTACCATAAATCCAAGCTATTTCAGGGTAATTATGAAGCTGTATAAAAACGATCGCGTTTACAAGCTAATTGTTGTTCTTCTAAGAATTTCCAAGTTTGCTCCTAAAATTGATGAAAGCTCTATAAATCTTATGATATGAAATTCGAAATCACAAAGATAAGTATGAGGAAGAAAAAAGTGCAGAGTAGATTCAAGCAAATGCGGCATATCTCTCAGACTCCGTGAAAATTTTCACCAGTTCATGATCGTCAAGGCAACTATATTCATGAGCGAGTAAATGCAATTAAACAATTATGTTCAGTTCCCAACAAAATTTCTGAAACTCGTAAGAGGAATAGTCATACCTCAATGAATCGAGCACCAACCATCACCAAATCAGCCGAAAAAAAAACTCAGTATTGTTCGCTGAATCTCAACGATGGTGGCAAGAACAGAATCTGAAACTACAATGTTAAACTCCTTACAGCTTCGATTATGTCAGAAGCTTCAGAAAACGCCGATCGCGGGGATTCGAGATGAAAACCCTAGTGGCTGCTTCGGAAATTCACTCGAAATTCGAAGAGGATACCAAATTAGAAAGTAAACTGAAAACAGGAGAAGCTGGAGAAAGAAAAAAAGCAAACCAAAAAAGGACTGGTAATGGAATTTGTTTTTTCCCGCAACCCTAATAACAATCGATGAAGAAAAATGGTCACGATTTAAACAGAGAAACCGGAGATGAATTGCATTTAGAGATCAAACGAGAGAGAGAGGGAGAGAGAGAAATCAGCTAGAAAATAGGAACGATCCGTTCAAGTTGGAGATGAAATTCTTCAAAAATCGAGGATAAAAAAGAAAATAAAGAAAGAAAATTTGGATTTTCCAGGAAGATCTACCCTAATCGAATCACATAAGGATAGCCGCGGCGATCAGAGAGCGAATCTAGTAGAGAGAAACGTGGAGATGTAAACAACCCATTGTGAATTCTCCCCCTCTCTATCTCTCTATATATGTGCGTATATATCTCTCAGATTTCCGCTGAAAAGCAGCGAAAACGTGCTCCACTGAATCAGAGTGTTCACTTTCCCGCACCCTGAGAAAAAATTTTCTTGGCATCCAAACAACGAAAAGCACGAAAACGGAGATGGAATTTTGGGTTCGCTCATTTATATATGTACATTTGGCAATTCGAACTTATTACGACGGTTTAATGAGATAGAACAATGAGATTCCAAACATATAATAAATATATTTCAATATAAAACAAAAGATCGTAAATCTTGAAGCTTTCAAAATAAATAAAAATAATGGTCACAAAATATAATATGAAATCCTTTAAAAATTTAGTTTAATGAAATAGATAAATCTAAGCATATTAGTAAAACAAATAATTAATAATTTCAAAGAAAGAAAAACCGTAGCATATTAGTAATAATCAAACGCCAACTATATTAGAAAGATTAATCCAAATTAGATAAATTTATTTCATCATAGTTTTCTTCCTTTTAACTCAATTTATTTATTAATTTATTCATTTTTCCTAAAAATAATCCTCTCGTCAAAATTAATTTGGCATATTTGGATCATTTATCTTTTTTCAACATATGTTATGCATTTGGTTTTTATATTTTGCTAGAGATTTATTTATCAATTATTAAAATCCAAATAACAAATTTTCTGTCCCAAAAAAAGAGAGAAAAGTTTGCTAAGTAGTATTTATCGAGAGCGAAATAGTAGATTATTTAACCCTTATTAGTTGGGTGCTAAAAAATATTTTTTGTTGTTTTTAAAATATTTATACTACGATTTAAATTTCATTATTAAAAATTTAATAATTTAGAATACACAAAAACATCTTTATCTATTCCTACCCTAAAGATATCATTTTTTGTAAATAGTAGACGAACTCGCTCCTATGAAAATAAAGTTGTATAAAAAACTATGAATTTTATGTATTAAAATTTGATTGAAAATAAAACTATCTTATTATATTCTATATAAATACTTAAAGAGAAGAGATATCTCACACATAAAAAATTATATAAAAGATAACCTTTTTGTATACAAATACTTTTGTAAATGAATTATGAAAATCTTAGTGTAAAAAGTCATATATAATGAACTATAATTAAAAAGATACACAAAACTCTAATTTTATATAAAAACTATTTTTAAAGAATTTTAATAAAGTTTTATAAAAACAAATTATGATAAATCTTATATAAACAGGACTATATAATTTTTTTAAAAAATAAATAATTAAAGGAAAATAAATCAAAATCTCAAATAACCATTATAAAATTACAGGTGTAGTTGGGTCGGATGGAGGCTTTAGTTATATGATCTTTGAAATTTTAATTATGTAACATATGATTCATCGGCAGAATAGAACAATTATTTTTGTTTTTTTGTTTTACAAATTGTTACCAGAAAATTAAATGGACCGTCTCTCCAACGCCTTTTCCCTTCTTGCCTTGGCCGACGAAGATGGTCAGACGCCGGCTCCGGCGACCCCGTCATCTCCGGCCACCACTGCTTCATCATCGTCTTCATCCTTGCCTGGTTATACTGTGTTCTTAAGCCGCACTTTTCTCTTTACCTGTCTGATTTGCAAGTTGAGTTCGATGTCTTCTCCATCACTGTCTGTTCAACTTCTAGGGTTTTGTTTCGTCGCAAGAACAGCGTGTTGATTACTTTTTGTCTGCTTCTTGTTTTCGTAGATATAAATCCGTTCTGGGTATTTTGATTTTGTCATTGTTAGTTTTCTAGTATAGATTCGAATGTAGGAGAAACACATTCATCGTTTGTGTTTGCCTTCTGAATTCTGATTAAAAAGTTGTGTGTTTTGATGTTCTTCCCCGAATAATCTTGGGGGAAATTTGTAGGATTCATCATTATTTGCTGTCGAAAACTAGCTAAAAGTGTAGGGATCCATTGATGTGTCGTGCATGTGGACTGAATAATAATTGATTTGGAGAACCTGGTTTACGTCTCACTGTGAGAAGGCTTGGATTTTCCGCTTTCTTTGTTAGATTCTGTCAAAACAGTTGCCGAGGATTAGGTTCGGTTTCTGTTGATTTAGGAGCTTGAAACATAAGTTGCAAACCCGTCTGACTTTTAGATTTTATGTGCTCTGCCGAGATGAATAATTGCGGTCCCCTTTGTTGCTGCTTTGTTGTTTACGTGAACTCTTCTTGAACAGGAAACCAAGGAGCGAAAGTTAACGGTCCGCTTGAGCTTGGAGAATTCAAGCAACCGCTTGTCTGGATTGACTTGGAAATGACTGGTATGTTGTTCATGATGAGCCACGATGATCTTGGTTGGTGTTTATTTTTTTAAATATATTGTGTGTTAAATGTTAGATTGGATTAAATCAGGACCTAGTTTTTCTCTTTTATTCTGATTAGAATCCTAATTCCCTGCGGACTCGTGTGCTTGGTCTATATCTGCTCTTTGTATCTTGCTTCATCTTCCGCTAAATAGCATGTAAGATGCTTGTAGCACCTGAGTATGGATTCTTCAAACTCTTTGATGGTACCCATAGAATTTGTCATCTCGTTTGTTTTATAGCCATTTCCTTTACGAGTTCTCTCTTATCTATTATCTTTTTAAGTGCATATGAGCAAACAATATTACAACTCCTTTCTCTTTTTTTCTTTCTTTCTTTTGATTCAGATATGACATTTCCTTCTTGAAGGTAACCCTGAATGTTTTAAGAAAGAAATCTATTTGGTTTCTGGTTTTTGCAGCTGCCCTTGTAATGGTTTGCAATAAAACTGTATATCCATTCAGCTTCTTGTTGGCTAACCATGAGTTTTCTTAATTCTTTTGTGTATATTGCTGTCTAGGTCTAAATATTGAAGCCGACAGGATATTGGAGATCGCTTGTATCGTTACTGATGGAAAATTAACCAAATCAGTGGAGGTACTATTATTTATCTATTCATGCTTTATAAACATTCTTTATTGTCATTGTTCTGTTTTTGATGTTTTTACACTCATTTCCTGTGTTTTTTCATGCCAAAAAGGAAGTTAAATTTTTTACATGTTACCCTGTCAGATAGTGTCTTAGTAATGAAAATATTCAGACCAAACGAATAGCATTTTCTTAAAGGAACTAACAATCTAGTGTTTTGTTTTTCCTATTCATGTTCCACACTTGAATTGAGAATAACCTTTTCCTGAAGGAACATTAGTAAATGACATCAAATAAACTGTCTTACGTTGTATTTTAATTGATAATTTTGTAATTTTGTCTATTTGAAAGTTGTGGGAGCTCCATCTCTATCTCTAGCTCACTCTCAATCGAGTCATCGGCTCAGTTGACCTTTATCTTTAAAATGTCTGCGCATCTTATATCTTCTCTGTCTGGAATTCTCGTGGGATGCATCTTTGTTATGCACTAAAAGAGCTCCTCTTCTGTTAGGGTCCAGATTTGGTAATACATCAAACCAAATGCTGTCTAGATAGGATGGGTGAGTGGTGTCAAACACATCACGGTGCTAGTGGTAAGTTCGCCAACCAGAATAATATGGTCTCAACGTAATTTTCATACTGGATGTTCTAACAGGATCTCATGCTTGTTTAATGTGGTCTCATGATGGTTTTCCTGTAGGGTTGACAGAGGAAGTGCTTCAGAGTACAATAAGCGAAATGGAGGCTGAAAAGCAGGTATTCTGATTGATAGCTTACAGAATCTTTTATATATTTTCAGGCATTTTCGCTGTTCCTCCTAGATGAAGTAGAATCATATTGCCTTAATTTTCATGCCACATACAGTTGACACAGAAATTTAAAGAGGAAAATTGTGAACATTTACTCTATTGTGTAATAACAGTATTTACACCCTGATTGTTTCCTGGTTCAATTAGACTCGTGTTGTCTTATGTTTCATGTCATATAGGTTTGACGTAGATAATTTGGCACGAAAATTAAAAGGAAAAATTTTTAAAATCGTCTCTACTGTGCAATAACTAGAATGACATTCACACATGTTGTAAGATCTAATGCCATAATGTATTTTGCTTCAATGAGTCCATCTACAATTACCATATGTTCTAGACTGTGAACCATTTCAGCATCAGAGCTTTCAACAGAGCTCCAAATTTTAATCAAATACCACTCCTTCATTTCTGTATCTATTCTAACAATAACTTTTCTGGTGAGTGAGATCTGCATCATACCACATTTTTTCTCGTCATTCAGAACATTCCTCTTCCTTGGCTTTTTGCAGGTCATCGAATTCGTAAAGAAGCATGTAGGAGGTTCAGAGACTCCACTTTTAGCCGGAAACTCGGTTTATGTGGATTTCCAATTCTTGAAGGTAACTTACTAACCAGACCCTGAACCTCTGTTCTTCAGTGCATCTTGGAATCCTTACTGGCCTTCTTTTTCACAGAAATACATGCCAGATTTAGCTGCCCTTTTCCCTCATGTACTCGTCGATGTCAGTAGCGTCAAAGCTTTATGCAAACGTTGGTACCCACAAGGTAAAACTTATACATTAAACACTTCTTCTAAACATCAAAGGCCTTTCCTTTTCTTTGTATACATTTTACGTATGTGGACAAATGCCCACAATTCATCGCTGCGTGTATTTGTTGCTTTGAGCTTAGATCGAAGGATGAAACCAGCAAAGGAAAACAAACACAGAGCCATGGATGATATAAGAGGAAGCATCAAGGAGCTCAAGTTCTACAAGGAAAATATATTCAAAGCAAGCAAGTCAAGGAGATGAGTTCCTTGCATATGTCTTTGTTACAGGACCGTCTCCTTTGCAAGACCCTTCGGGTTCCAAAGGTGATGGAGATTGGAATTCTACTTCTAAGAACCCGGAAGGAATTCTATTGAGAGTCTGAAAAAAGAAGAAGAAAATCAGGGTTATTTATACTTTATTGTAAATTTTCAAAATACCCTTATTTACTTGAACCGATTTAACTGGTTTTAATTCCCCTAAACCAGTGGGGTTTTCTATCATTACTTTTGCAGATTCTAAAGCCAGAGTGGAGTTTGAAAGTACCCTGTAGGACAAGTCTTGTGAAGCTAGAACCCTAACTTCGAGTGCAGACACACCAATTGAGGTGTGTCTGAACATTGCTTGAGAAGAAAGTACAGTTGAAATCTAAACCATTCGTAGTCTTTGATTGGTCTTTTTCGAGTTGCATTTACTGCAAAAGTAAATACAATGACGTCAGGTGGTTTTGTTTTGTGGGCTAACACACGAATTTTACTTCCCTTTTGGTTAAGAAATTGTTTGCCTTTGATGAGAATCGAGTGTACGAACTCGGATTTTTTTAAAGATATTTTCATTATTAGATTATAAATTGCAAAGGACTGAAAGTAGGTAAAACAATTCTTACATATTAAAATTTAAAAAAAAAATAACGGAAATTTATTTCATGTTTATATCCTATTATTAAAATATAGTGTTGTCAAATTATTTTCAGGCTTGACTTTTACCATGAGACCTGTGTTCACTTTTTACTTTGAACTCCAGTTTTGTTTTTAAATAGATTCTTGACATGATTTCTTCCAAAACAACACATTCAAGGGTATCTTTGGAGAGTGTAGAGATGCATTATCTTATCTTCTTTTGGTACTTCAATCTGCAGAAACATTGACTCGTTTTCTTCCATCTTAAACCCATAAAATCGTCGCTTAAATATATTTCGTGTGGCATGAATTCGTTCTCCAATGCTTTGCAAATACCAATTACGGTCATCTTCATGTTTTACTGTGTGCATAAATTGATCTCGGAGGTAAAGAAAAGGCATAACTCCTAAAGGGGTTTGAACAGAGAATATGACAATTTAGCAGGGAAATTGGGGATTCAAACCTAACAATAACGTAAGTGAAATCTTTATCATTTCAAAACCCTTTGAAGAAAAAGAAGCAATCATTCTTTAAAAGAGGTTATTTTGCCACACAACCAGAAAGGGAGGGCATAACAAGAGGATGATGGTCCACAAAGCTTAAGACACAGTTCAACAATTATCTATGACAACATCCATCACCCGAGAGAGACAATCAAAGTTTAAAAAATAAAACATTTTTTTAACTAATCAAACATAACCTCAATTTTAGTCAGCGTCCATCTCTTCAAGTGCAGTCTTTGCTGCAGTCTTGGCTTCCTCTAGGAGATCATCAGGAACCTGACGAAAGACAAGGTAAAACCCGATGAATACCGAGAGAGATCAAGTGTCACCTTATACCGGGTGTAGACCTTCAAGACTAGAAGCTCGGTGTGGATATCAACGAAAAGAAAATATAACCCTTTGATATCAATATTCTCAATGTGTTGATTCATTTTTAGAACAAGCCTTGTCAAAAAGGAAACCGAGGTTCTTGCTCTAATAAACCTAAGGCATATCCTGATACCCCAAATATCTATATGCTGTTTCCAATTGACAGGTTTAGACATCAAAGGGTATAGGGCACCAAAGATTTCTTCACAGTGGTCTACTCTGGTCTACTTAGTGATGTTTTCCAATGGACAGTTTTGAAACATCAAGATATATCAGGTACCAAAGGTTGGTTGCTATAAACTAGCTGATCCGAATTTCGACCATTTATGTTCATATTAATTCATCTAATTACCATAGCCTGAAGAGATTTACAGAAGGAAAAAAAAAAGATAATACCTTCTGATGATCTCTTTTCGACTCATCACAGATCCAGCTCATCTCCAATTCAAAGGCTTTGTCCTTGGCTTCATCATGTAGCTTGTAGATTCTGCATATGAATGTGAAGTTTAGATCTTGCTATACATGAACATGGAGCAAATAGCACAAGATGCAGGAAGAAAGGGTTGCCCAACGGCGTCAGAATCTTTTCATAATATGAAAAACAAAATCAGGAGACGAGTACTGAAATGAATAAATGTGAGGCGGGGCAATACTCACATCTTGGCCACCTCAATAACTCCCTCTCGGCAAGTCATCTCAGAAAGTTTTAATTTCTCTATTTCCCTGCAGAAGAAAACCATTGGCCCACGTGAAAAATTAGACCAAAGTTGAAATCTTAGCTTTTTAAATAATCATTATACAACTGTATGATGTACATGCTTAGTTGCATAATCCATAGAATGGTATGGTGGGAAAAGATCTCCAAAAACCAAATTAAACTGATTCAAACACAGAACTTGGAGTATTCAGGATGCCTCACGTCCTTAATATGGATATGAAGTTTCAGACATTTTTCAATATGGTACTGGAACACGAATGGCTATGTCAGAGTTCTGATATCCAAGACATCATCTATTATTCAAGAAGACCAAACCTCACTCTTCAAAGCCAGTTACAGGCAATGATATCTAAATAAGTTTAAGCTAAGCTTCTACATAGTAAGCCACAGAAATCGAACGACAAACTACCATGATACCATCCATCACCCGAGCACCAACTGCCCCTTTTCAACCGAGGATATTTTGTCTTGTATGAAATGGAACAGATGCTTTTAACTCACCATATTTTTTTAACAAATTTCTAAACACTTGTGGAGTAGATTGCATTACGAATATCCTGGAAACAACACATATCCAGTCCATGTGTGTCCCTACATAATACCGTAACATCATGAAAAAAAGGTTAAAGTGTAGGGATGGGAAAACAGCTTACGTTTTAGCAGCCTGCTTTCCCTTCCCGATTGCCGCACCGAAATATCTCTGCAAGAGAAAAGATCCAAACAGGAACATTGAGCACAACGTCCCTAAGCTAATATTTATACACATCTCATTTGAAATGCTGCTCGGAGATGAACTTACATGTGAGATGCCTGACGGCTCAATCATGTACAATTGTGGTCCGTCTCTATCATAACCTCCGAGAATAACCCCACAGCCAAAGGGCCTTCAAGTACAAAACCATTCAATATATCATTCATGCAAGGGAAAAAGAAAATGTTGCGGTGATAGAAAAGCCACAAAATTGTTCATACCTGAGCCACCAATATAGGGTGCACAAATGTACGTAACTTGCAACTCGTTCAGAAAGTTCCTTCACAGGTATGGCTTCGCCATAGACACTAAATTGTTATGAACAAAGAAAGTGGGGTTTTCAACAATCAGTAAACCATTTATTATATCCAGACATGCTAAAGCACAGATGGATAAATAATGACTCAGGCTCAGCATTGCGAATTTTATGCTGCCAAAGTGGTGAAACAATTTTTCTCCTTCTAAGTAGAAAATTCTCAAAGTGAAAAGTTATAGCACTAGAACAGTCTTTCAAATATTTTAAATTAAATGATGCCAATTAGCCAGCAAAAGAAGCTCACAAAATCAAGCTGATGCAGACTAAATAACTATGAAGAAATGCAAATTCAAGTGTAACAATATTTTCATTACAACCTCTCATAATTCATTGCCTCAGATTTAGCCCGTGTGACAATTTGCCTTCCATCAGCTGCTAATCCAGCAACAGCCTGGTATAAGCCACACAGTGAGACAATAGAACACGGAACATAACAGATATATAACCGGAACAACGATCATGCGGCATCATAGTAATAATTCTCCAGGATTAAGAATAGGGAAAAGGAAAAGAGCATACCATGCCCGCATGACGATGACACGAATGGATTCTCCGGTTGGAACCCGGTAGCATCATCTTTGATGCGATAAGCTTCTCCACACCCTTAAGTTAAAAAACTAACATTTTGGTAAGACAATTTCTATATCAAGTCTTAATACTACCACTCTCCACTCTCATGCCTAATTGGAGAGAAAGCTTATTGAGCATAAACCGGAAAATGATCAAGATGGAGATCGAGAGATGGGCCATCAGAAGTTAAGAAAACAGAACACAAATTTGCTTCAGATTATGGAAAATGAAGACATTGATTAGAAACTAACAGAATACATCTATAGTGAATATCAAAGCTATATCACGAAAACCCACATGCAAAACAATCAGTACTAGCGCGAATCCAAGTCCGAATAAAATAAACTAATTCACAAGCTCAAGGTCACATTTGTACCCTAAATCCCAACTCGAGAATCCCAAGGAACAACTGAGACAAAATGAAAGGAAGGGAACAAGAACATACCATGACAATTCCGTCCTTGCACTTGATCCCAACAACAGTTCTGCAAAACAAACAAACAAACAAAAAAATCTGCCATGAACTTCACCGCATGAACAATAAAAAGCAACCCCAGAAGCGACGAGGACTCCATACGCCATTCACTCAACACTTCAACAGCCGAATCTGATCTAAACGAAAACGATAAGGGAGAGTACGAAAAGCGATGAGGAAGAAGTGGATTTGGGAACTGACCCACTGTTGTCGACGGCTTTGGCGGCGTACTCGATCTGGAAGACACGGCCATCGGGGGAGAAGGTCGTGACGGAGAGATCGTACCCTGTTCCAATGCTGCTCATCTCGTTGATCTCCCTTTCGCTTCTTCTTCTTCGTGTTCTTACAGCACGAACGATCGGAGTGAGGTTTTCTTTGGTCTTAAGCCAGAGACATGGAAGGGAGAGCTTTCTCGCCCAACTTCTGTGTGACGACAAAGGAGCCGGGTCAAACCGGGTCGGGTTGATAAATCGGGTGGAGCGGCATTCGTTGGGCTAACGTTATATCTGATTGTGGACCCTCCTTACGAGGTCCGTCAGGGCCCATAAATAAAATAGGGAATTTTTTATTACCATTTAGCGGCATTGGCTAATGGCTATTAATAATTTACTTTTTAGGGTGAATGATATTGTTTTTTATTTTGGATTTTTGATTTTAGTTTTTAGTTTTTAGTTTTTGATTTTTGGATGTTATAAGTTTGTGAATCTAAAAAAAATATGACTTTTGATTCTTAGTTGATTTCTTTTATAGAGTAGATTTTCGGTTTTTTAGAAAAACCAAATTAAAAGAAATTTGATTATCGGTTTTTTCACTTTTTGAAATCCAAAAACTATTAAAACTCTTTCCATTCAATACCTTAATTATCCATAGAAATCTGTCATTTGCTTTTGATTGATATGCAAACAAGGAAATGGATTATCATTGTTATTGTTGGTTAAAAAAAAAATCGAATATTTAGAGACTGAAATCGGATTCGAGCAGGATGAAAATCTTAAATCACTGACATCGAATATACAAATGTATTATGAAAATACTATTTATCATAATATTTATTTAAAGTTTTTATCAGTATAGATTATATTTGATCTATTACAGTTCGAGATGGCGGATATCTGCGACCATTCAACCAATCATTTATTGCAAAACACCTAAATGTAGATCCCCAACAACATTTTACAAAGTCGGGTAACATTCTGGAAACAGTAACTAAAGATTCCACAGGTCAAGTGGAGAGATTCACTTGCCGACAACACTAGCACAGATTTACGAGTCGCTACCGAACACATTACATAATTGATAATGTTACATATGACTTGCTTCAGAACCATATCGACACATCTCGCTCTTGCCGCTTCGGCGGCATTCCCTCCATCCCTACTGCTTGCATATCGTTCCTGTCGTCAAATGATGCCAGATCGAACGGTGTAGAATCGAACACAAACTCCAATGGGCTGTTGCTGCTGCCGTTGTTGTCGTCACTGTTCTGGGTGGCAGCGAATGGGGAGGACATGAACTTGAACTCGCTGTTTCCTTGCATATACATTTGACTGCTGCTGTTGTTGTTGTTGCAGCTGTTTGGGAAGTTCAGGTCTTCAAAGAAACTTCCTTCGACCATGTTTCCATCTCTGTTTCCGAACTGGTTCTGTTCTTGATGATTCTGGGCTTTTGGCTGAAGCATCATGCTTTCATTTTCCACCATTGAAGAAGCTTGGTTGTTCTGGACGTTTCTGTCATACATGTCCATGAGCTCAGTGATCATCTTCTGCCCGTCTTCTGGCACCCCGAGGCCTGTTAGATCAATGGGTTGAGCTGCCGAGTTCATGGGCATGGCCACTGGCCTTGACTGAGTACAGGGTTGTAGTGCAACTGCAGGCTTTACTTCCCCGACCTGAAACTTAGATGCTCCATATGCTAAACAACTGTCTCGGTATGGACACACCAGTTGGTGGTTGTCCCTTGTGCCCCTGTCTTGAAATCCTAGATTGATTGCGCTGTGGGGACACTGAGGACTTTGACAAGTGAAGATTCTAGGGTTCATCACTGTGTTTAGATCACCATCTGATCTCCTCTTTCCCACGAACTCCATGTTAGCGGTGATGAGTTCTTCCTTAACCGAGAAATGCTGTTGGACCATATGCATATTAGCCATCCCGAAGTCTGGAGGATTGATCACATTCTCTGGTTTGTGCTCTTCCATGTCGTAATTGGGCTCCTTGTCAACACCTTCAACATCATACTCACTACATTCATTGCCGAAAAGCAACCCACTTCCTCCAGATGAAGAAATAGGAGGACAGGACTCGGGATAAAGCTCTTGTGCCAGGGACTCTTCTTGGTTAATGATGGCCAGCCAAGTAGCACTCTCTTTGGCTGTCATCTTATCCTGCAAACATTTGGATTGCCTCACGAGCTTCCGGATTTTAGCAATGTCTGGAAACATATGCTTGATAACAGCAGTCAAGACACCGACTTTCCATGCCTTCTTCAAATCATGAGGTTTCTTGTACGGTGGAGGGCCTTGATCCTTTGGCAAACCAAGTTGAGCCCACCACTCCTCCTTCCCCGAAGGCCACCATGGCGGAGGAACTCCCTTCTCCAATGGAAACCGCCTCTGTGGAGGGTCACAGTGTTGCATCAAAGCCGATAAGAGAGACCCCAGAGTCGTATCTTGAAGTTCTTGCAGTGTGTGCGGTGTTGGCCCAATTGGATTCTTAACCTCATTACTCCCAGGGATATTATTCTCGGCTTGGTACTTTGCTATAGCAGCTGGACCATTCCGATCAAACCTCACCTTATCCTTCCACCATTCCCGAAGGTTATCAGAGGCACCTGTCACGGGTTTTCCATTCTCGGGGATGATCCCGTAAACAAAACCTTGAGCTTTACACACTTCCATCATCTTCAGCATATACTTCAAGATCCCGTCTTGGGCCCTTGACATCTTCTTCCTCCTCGCTAGCTCTTGCGACTGCCTCTGCTTGGCGGAATCAACTCCTTCCTTACTCTTGCTCTGCTCCTTGAGACATTTAAGGCGGAGTTTGTCCCTCCACACCCTCCTCTCCAGTTCATCCACATCGATCTCTTCCTCGGTAAAGTCATCCTCCACAAAAGACTCGGTTCCAGCTTGTCGTGCAGGACAAAGATCCACTTCCGCAAGAGGCCCAGAGGAGAAGAAATCCATGTTCCCACGCATTCCCATCTCGTTGAACATCATCATAATTTCCCACAC